GAGCCAACCAAAGTACGTATTTGGGAGTTATTGAAGGTGATGGATCTAATAGTGGTGCCAGATAGATATGTGCTAGGCTTACGCACTGTGGGGCGTGAAATGGGTTTCGGTCCACTTCAACCGCGAACGCATGGCAATCACAAAAATATGTGTGTCTAACGACCTTGTAGAGGCTGCGCTGAGGAGTAAACGAATCGTGGAATTTGAGGTGGAGCGCATTTGTTGTAAATATGATTCGGCTTGAATGGCGAACGTCTTTTCTAGGGATAAACAGATCAAAGTATGAGTTCCCACGCAGTTGCACATGTTGTTCTGCACCGGCTAGAATATCGTACAACATCCCTTTCTTCATGATCTACTATCACCACAGTACTGAGTTTAATCGAGGAGTGCAGTGTTTTTTTTTACTTCATTTAGATTTCAGCTGGTTTCTTCTACTCGCCACTGACGTACTATTCAAGACAGGAAATTCTGCGATCTACCCCAAAAGAAGCCCAATGGATGGACGCGAAACTTAAATTTAGATTAAATAGTTGAGGATGGACGTTCCTGAAGGGATGCAAGAGAAATCTAGGTACAAACAATCTTGACATCTACTTTTAAAGAACCGTTTCAACTGCCCAACTTGAACAGAAATCTGAAGGGTTAAAATTGTATAAAAGGACAATGAGATACCTAGAAGTCAGGTAAATAATTTTCTCCTTTTCCCGTCAGATTAAGTTCTCTTACAAAAACTTCGGTTTACGTTGAATGTCACTTCCATCGCTGGCACAAAATATAAAAGTTGTCTGCTGCATAGGTGTGAATAGATGCTGAATTCACCAGTACTTACCGGGTTTGCCATCCAATCCTGGTTCTCCAGGATCTCCTGGCGCACCAGGCGGACCAGGTGGTCCAGCGGCACCAGGTGTTGCATCTTCTCCAGGCAATCCAGGTAAGCCATTCGGTCCAGGATCTCCAGGCAAACCTGGGCGTCCGCGTTCGCCAGGTGGGCCAGGAGGACAAGGAGCACAAGGTGGTGGAGTGACGGGAAAACATGGTTCCCGCGGTGGTTTACCAGGGCTTCCTGGTAACCCAGGAGAACCAGGTTTTCCTGGTTTGCCTGGTCTCCCGGGTACTCCAGCAACGCCTTGTTCTCCAGGAATGCAGCAGCTGTCGCAAAACGAGTGTTCCCCTGCTGAAGTGTTAACATCGGTCTGGCGAGCTGTTCGGTTATTCAAATTCTGAGTTGCTTCGATGCGCACGACTTCTTTCAAAACATCTCTCGCAGATTCCTGAATTGCGAAGTCGTTTGCTAATAGTAGGTCTCAAGAGCTACAAAGTGCGGCTCACCATACAAAATTTCATTTCTCCTTTCTTATTTTCTTTCATGAAAATCACGTATTTGTAGACGACAGGAAGAGTTATGCAAACGAGTAGAAAAGATATTATAGAGATCGTCAGAGCGGCATACGCAAGAAGTCGTTGGACCTTCACCTTAAAAAACTTGTGTCTATTCGTGCAATATGAAATATTTAGTTAGATACCGTGTACCGCTACATTCCTCCATATAGCAGTAGACCAATGATTCCGATCAAAACCAACATCCCTGCCAAAATTCATGTTCTACGTCTACATAAAATCTGGAACCTTTTCTTCCTTTTTGAACCCTTTACTTCATCTGATTGGACAAACAATCGCTAAGATGGAAACCATAAAACCGGACTGCCAGTTTCTCTCGATTTTTGGATCATCCAATGATCACATGTGGACTCCCTTCNTCCCTTCTCATACATTCCAAATCTTTCTGCCATGATATCCAGTCTTCAGGGCATCTCGGAGAGAGTCCCAAACTCTTCGTGCGAGCTCCGCCTATTTCGGTAAGCTTTCCATCCACACTTGTGCCCCCACCACCCCCTGCGATTCCACCTCCACTCATGAATCTGCTAAGTTCTACCTACATCCTCTACCTTAAGGATATAGTAAGAATGAACCTGTTACGACAACATACCACACATGAGTCTTTATTAGCTCCAATGCAAAAATTTAACTTTCAAACTGTTAAAAGCAGGGTTGAGCCATGCATTCAAAACTATGAAGGCTTTCCTTCGCAGAATTCGATTTATTTAATTGATTGATTATGGTTATGATTCGCGTGTTAATGTCAACGATTAGTGAACTAACTCTGAATATCCTTAACTAAAAAGTACAGTAATCTAATCAAAGGAAAGTACAGACATGGAGTGAACTTACCTTCGCTTCTACAACCATTGCATAATACGGCCTCCTCGAATAAGAACATATAGGATTTTTATAGAGTGTCTATAGGCAATCATGACGAAGTGGCCTACTTATGAGCAACTAACCCTTACTCATAGCAATTAGATGTTTTTCAGTCGGTTCCTACGAATTTATAACGCATAATTACCTAGACAGATCCTTCTCAACGACCTCGCCTGTTGTAACCAGGTCACTCGGTAACAAGTATTTGTAAAAGAAATGAATTCTCAGGGGACTTTGATAAAAAAGCAACGGGTAAGTGGCGTATGTGCACAAAGTGAGGTAAATTAGGGGAACAAATAAATGCTGCGAAAATGCATGGTCTAGGCCTCAAACGGAGTCCAACCTTCATCGTTATACTCTTCAGAATGAACAGAGTAAGAAGCAGCTGTTTCTGCTCTTCATTCACCTCGACGCAAACTCAAAGATAGCCGTGAACCGCTTTGGCCGTGGCAATCGGGCAGTTTGCACTCAACTTATTAAAACTCCAAATTTTTTGCAGATCTGCCTCGAGTAGAAGTAGCATGCGGCAGGGTAGGGCGTATGCTTTCGTCTCGAGTTGCTCTATACTGGAAAATAGAGTGGTAGAGGTCCGGTGGCTGGAAGGCTACCCGTCGAAGAGGACAGAGATCTCGAAAATTTTGCTTGACCTTGGTTTGAAGTATGTTGGGTTTTTGGACAGGGGCTCTGTAATATTGAGATCACCGACTGGTTTGTCGGGATAGGCCTAAATCCAGGATACGTTTTTCCTTGTGATGCCCATATAATTGCCCTGTACCTTAAGAAGTGCGGTGATCTTAACCTTCATTATGGCAGAATTCATCAAAGCTCCGGGATTAGCAGTCCAAAAGAACGTGGTGTTTAACCACAATACAGCGTGGATACTATAGTTTTCTTCATTCAGGTAAGGTTCGACAATAAAAACCTTCTCGTCCTTAATTCGAGTGCCTCTGCGGGTACAGCTATATGTAGAATCGTCCAAGGAAGCCCTGACAGCACTTCGTCCTCGTTTCTTGAGCCAACTATAGAGAATAATTTTTTCCCAATCAGTGTACCTTCCTTTTCAAGGGGTCCTTCACAACTCCAATCATAAACCTCTTATAAACCAACATCTATTCACCAATTCTCACAGTAACAGTGCCGGACTGAAGCGTCGATGAATAAGCACCTTTCTGATATCAGCCAGAAAGGTCACAGAAGAAAGAAACAGACAAAGGTCTTAGGTTAGCATACAAAAAAAGACGAAGAACAACAATTGGTTCGGTTCGATTCTTAATCTCCCAAACCGTGAGCGGCATTTGCAAATTCCGCGAATCTTATGGTAGTCTTCGAAACAGTAATTCATGATACATTCGAGCAACGAAAAACCTCAGTCGATCGATCGATCGATGTTTCGATCGGACGTTGACGACGCAAATGGGCCATGAAATTATGTACTGGAAAATGATACCTTCATCATTCATAATTAGAGCAAAAATTATGCGGTGGTTGGGAAACAAGTTCTTTTTGAATCAGATGAAAACAAAAAGGAAAATCGAAAGAAGCTCTCTTTCAGTATAATCCTCCAAAGTTAGTTTTCTTGTAGATTGGACAGAGTCGTTTCAAAACTGCGAAGCTTTTTAGGGCTTACCCTTCAATTTCTTCGAATTCTCCCTCTCTCCCTTTTTACCTTTTGTTCCACTCACTCTCGTGTTGATTATCACCTTGCACGAGCTGTTGCAGTAAGGTTGCTACATATCAATTCGTCCCTGTTGCGAGCCGGTGTAGCCCAATGGAGTGTGATGCAGTAGGATCGAAAATATCGCGTCGCGGCGAGAGAGACGCCGAGCATGAAGTAATGTAGCAGAATGCAGCAGCAAGTAAGAAATACGGGAAAAAACGAACTAACATTGGAATCATGCCAAAGATATAATCGCCTTTGGTTTGAGCTGTATGAAGAACGCTAAAACTGTAGTAACGAGGCGATTGGTTCGCGGCTGCCGCGCGAGGCCAACACAAAAAACTTACAAACTTACACAAAACCGATCCTACTGCTCGCCTCCCATCAAAAGTGCTACTGCTGGAGGAACATGTTTCATAGGATCTCTTTATTTGAAGAAATTTTGAAAAAGCTTGACAATCGTGCTTGCAGCTGTCCTAGACTTCCTTTGACGTCTCGTGAGTCAGTGACCGCCCCGAACCAACGGCTATCATAAAATCGCATGGCGTGTCCAACTCCAGCTCCAACCAGAGCTTCTGATTCCACGAAAATTCCGAGCATAATCCTTCCCAAAGCGCGTTGAAAGATGCTGGCATTCTGCTCGCGTAGAGTTCAAGACTTCGAGGCGTGAGTCCGTGGAGAAAGGAACGCAGTGTCGAGAAAAACGGCGCAGGCTTTTCAGCACCTTTTCCACTACTTCCGTGATGTTCCTGAGTGCTCCCAACGTTTTTCCTTTTTGAAGGGGTACCAAACAAGTAGCACTGAGATGAATCAAGAGGTCATCCTGCAGTCGAAGTAACAGATCAGCTCTGAAATCATGGCAGCTGCGCCCCTTGCAATCAGCTATGGTCTGATAGCGGTGATGTTAGCGCTTTCCCTTCTAGATCCTGTCAATCGCTATGTATATCTCGAAACGGCTTTACGCCTCAATCATCCCTGGTCATTTATTATGTGAGCAGGTTCGTGCGGAACCTTTTTTGGACTTCTTTATTAGTATCGATTTCAGGCTTCGATTCAGATCGCTAGTATGGAGCCACGTACAATAGGAAAAAGCTCCGATTGTCGGAGTTCCGCTCCGTGACCACAGTCTGTTTTTCGTTTGTTCACCATTTATCGAGCGGCTCCCGCACACAATGGAGTTCGTTCGGCCCGTTCGATTAAGAGCCTCCACACGTTTTCTCTTTAGACAGATTTTCATCAACTTTTATAGGGTTTACTTATACTTCGAGCTAACGGCCTTTTTATCAAGATCAACAACATGTCTGTAGAAGTCGCTTAAATTGCTTGCAAACGTTGATATACTCACTCCGGCTAAAAGCTCCAGATCATCACAACTTATCATGGCCTTTCTCTGAATCTTACAACAGAAGGGTGTTGTTGTCTTCAATTTGTGCCACTTTTCCTCTGACTTTTTTCTCCAATATATATTCATACAGTTTTATTTTCGGATCGAAACCCACGGTCCTCCAGTATCTCCTTCCTCCAGAAAGTTATTAGAAAAAGCTAGGTATATAATTCGACTGGAACCCCTTTAATATGCACCTACTGGCAAAAAAGTTTTTCAAGCATTGAGTTCTCGAGATCAAAACTGTAAAAGAAGCTTTACCCCTGCCACCAAAATAGCTGTCTCCCAGGAATAAGAAAGTGCTTATTCTTCGTACTGTGAAAATTCCTGGCAGTATGCAACTCCAACTTTTTCAGCCGTTAAAGTAGCCGGTACTTCTCAGCTGATTATAGTTAGATAGCTCGATCAAAAGGCCGGTCGGTGCCAGCATCTTCTCCAGAATTCTGTCGAACAACAAGGAGGTGGTGTAGGAGCAAGTACGCATCATCACACACACACGGTCCGCGATTCCAATTCAAGATCACTATTGCCCTGGGCCGACCAAGTTTTCCACCCGCCGATGTGTTTATTTCTTAACAGGCTGGGTGGAAGATAAAATACACCGAATTGTACAACGGCTGGCCACCGTAACTCATTGTATAGGAAATATACCATTCAAAACGGCGCCACGGTCTGAATGGAAGTCGAATGCAGTGAAGCTTCCCGCAAACGGAATTGATTGACCCAAAGACTCCATTCTTCGGTTTTAATCCCCCTGCTTCGCTTTCTTGTTT